ACGGCTGGACCTGCCTTTGCCAAAAACTAATCAGCTCTTTTCCCTATCAATAGGAATCGAATGTTTTTTGAACCATTCAAATCGGTTGATCCGTGCGCCCGAAAACGTGACTGGAAATTTGTATCCATACATACATACATACACACACACACACATCCATTTTTTCTGAGGTATGCCAAAATGTTCAGAAACCTTCAAAACGTCGAGAAATGTAAAAATTTTCAATTCCGATTTTCGGCCCATTACAATAACTTACCCTACGGGAAGTTAATTAGTACTTCTGCGCGTAAGATGAGTGAGCTATCATGCAGATAAAAGACGCATACAATATTTTTTTCGTTTAAAGCGAATGGTTTTTGAGTGCCATTTCCACCAAAATTAAAAATATTCGTACTCCCTCTGGAATCAACTTTAGTGCAAAGGATTTCCAAAAAGCTCATGATTTCATGAAAAAAAATCTATTTAAAAAAATAAAAGATACGTATAAAGGTATATAAATGAAAATTCAAGGTCTTTTACTGGCCAATTATTGCTTTTTATTATTTTTCTGTGACACAAATTAATAGTGTAGAATGTCTTTCGAGTCCTTCAATCCTTTGCCATTTCAAAATAAGAGAAGTTGCGGTAAAATTTATGATAGAGAAAGTTGTAGCTCATTTAATTACCTTTAAAATAGTGTATTGCAAGTATTGATAAAATCAGAATTAAAAGAGTTATAATTCAATGAATCCGGTGGGTGGTGACGGAGTGCAAATTGTTTTCACTTCTGAATTTAAGATTAAGAATAGCCTATTTTCGACACACGTTTTTTTCCTCTCCATTTACTGCAATTTTGTTGATCGTAGTTTGAATAGAGCACATGTGAACAGGATTTGACAAATTAATTCACTTCAAATATAAACTTAAGTAAAAATGTATATAAATTTATTAGTGAGAAAAATGTAATTTAGATATAAAAATTACTAAAAGCCAGTTAAAATATGGTACAAATATATAAAAATTATAGGCAACATTATTGAAGCCATTATTTTGGGTAGAAAAAACCAATGTAATATTGTACCTTTACCGGGAATGCTATTTATTAATTCTTTCTGAATTTGTTATACCATTTAAAAAAGTTCAATTTTCAACACGTGTAAATTATGCTATAAACCACAAAGGCAGGCGATGATTTTTTGTGTGATACATTTGGAAAGTCAATATTTTAGTCGTGAATAAACAAAAAATCATTCATTTTTACATCCACACCTACAGGTATGACTAAAAAATTGTATAACCCTTGACATTAAAATGAATTGAGCTATTGGAAATAAATTGCAGTGTTTAATTTTTATTATATAATTTTATTGAACATATTTTAATATTTGTTAAAGGGATAATTAAAGTGTTAACTGTGGGAATTGAGAATCATCATTTTATTTGAAGCAGTTCTACATTCACTCATTTATTGATGTAAATAGTAATTCGAAAAACAATAATTATTAATTTTAACTGAACGGTGAATATTAGTACAGGACTTTGAAAAAAATGCAGAGTTGGGTACAGGACAACGTCTGTCGGGTCATCTAGTATATATATATATATATATATATATATATATCAAACCCTGATTTTGCAATTTTGTAGAAAATTCAGTATAATTTTGTAAATATTGGGTTTGTTCAAAGCCATAGCAATTGCCGTGTTATATTGTTCCTATATAGCTCTTGCAAAAGTTCTTCTCTTTGTTCTGAGAATAGGCAGCATGTCCAAAGGATGTGGTCTATTTTTTGAAATTCTGGTCCACAAGAACAGAAGGGGTCTTGTGTTCGTCCAATTTTGTATAAATGAGGCCTACAAAAGGTGTAAGCGCATCTAATTCTATTTATCATGGAAATGTCTTCTCTGGTCATTTTTAGTTTACTGAACCAGGTACTAAATGTGACTTGGGGTTTGCAGGGTTTAAATAAAGAGCCCCTTGAAGTCGATTCTAGGTCATAATCGTTTTGCCATTGATTTAGTCCTCAAGTTCTTATTAATCCTTTTAAATCCGTTATTGGGGTCGTTTTCATAAGAACTACAGCCGTGCATGCTTCTTTTGCCAGTTCGTCCGCCCGTTCATTTCCACAAATTGAGGAATGGCCTTTAATCCAGGCTAACTTAATTATATATCCAGAATCCAGGAAGACTTTTATTTTGTGAATAGTATCAAGAGTCAAGAAATTTCTATCTTCTCTTGGTTTGTACAGGGCTAAAAGGGCGGATTTGCAGTCTGTAAAAATTATTGATTTTCTGAGATTTTCATTTTTGACGTACTCAAAAGCCGCATTGATGGCTGTTAACTCTGCTGTAAATACCGGTGCAAAGCTAGGTAACTTGAATTGAGATCGCTTATCTTTATCCGTCAGTGTAAATAACTGAAAAGTCTTTATAATTGTGTTGTAAACATTCTTCAAAATCTAGGTTTTTAATATGATTTGTGATATTGTGTGCAATGTAAAATTTCTGACACCAAGAGATGTAATTCTTGGAAAAAGAGCATTTCTGGGGGAATAAAAAAGCTTGAAGATTACTGTTTGTATAAGTCATATCTTCCAAGGGTTTGATGCAGTAGAAAGCAGTTATCAGAGGCGGAGTAGGTTTATTCTTCCAGTAAATCATTCTATAATGCAGCTCAGCTAATGTCTGTAGTTGTTTTATAAAGAACGTGTAATCTGAGTTAAACTTTTTAATTACGAACCTGTTCGTAAGTATTTCTCTTCTGATTTTTACTGGGGACTCGCCAGCTTCCACTAGAAGGGAGTTGCAAGGTGTTGACCTTATAACCCCCAGACATAATCTTAATGCTGAGAATTGCACCTTGTCTAAGGTATACTGATTCTTAGAAGATAATCCTTCATAAATCTGACATCCGTAATCAATATGAGATCTTACGATGGCTTTGTATACGGATATAAGGGAGGTCGGATGTGCTCCCTATCTTGTTCCTGATAGTCTTTTAATAATATTGATTCCTTTTTCCGATTTCTGTACCACTTCTCTGATGTGTGTCTGGAAGAACATGTTTTTATCGAAGGTTACTCCTAGAATTTTTTTACTGTCACATAATTTGACCTGCAAATTGCCTATGTTTAAGACGAGAGAGTTCAGTAAATTTCTATGTCTGCTAAAGATAATCGCTTTTGATTTGGTCGGAGATAGACTTAAATTATTAGCGTTAAGCCACGTTGATACTTTAATAAGAGAGTCTTGGATTTTATTTTTGCATTCTTCCATTGGAGCAGCGGAGCAATATATAAATATGTCATCAGCATATTGGAGTATTTTAACTCCATTTAGTGTTTGTGTATTAAGGTCAGACATATAAATATTGAACAGTAAAGAACTCAAAATTGAGCTTTTGTAGAAGACCCGTAGAAATAACTCTTCAATAATCTTATTTTTGAATTTAATGTAAATTGCCCTGTTTTCTAACAGTGACATGATAACCTTTGTAATTTTATGTGGTAGGTTCATACAATTTAATTTTTGTATCAATATATTGTACTCCACATAGTCATATGCCTTGTGGACATCTGCGGCTATTAATAGTAAGTATCCATTCCTTGAGTTTGAGATGTGTATATCATTCGATAATACACTCAGTAGGTCAATTGTACTACATCCACGCCTAAAACCCATCTGGCAATCATTTAATAGAGATCTATTTTCTGCATAGTATTGAAGTCTTCTTTTTAGTAAGCCTTCGAAGGTTTTATGTAACATTATATATGTAATGTGATCTATTCCGGGAGCGCTATCCTTTTTAGTTTTCAGAAATAGGTTTAGTTTTTCTAGACTAAATTTGGCGTTTAATTTGAAGATATCTTTGTCTATATTATGAGGAATGTCAACCATGGCTTCCCTTTGGGCTGAGTCCGGAGCAAAATTTTTTAGGATGGATTCGTAGAAGTCGGAGTTCCCAGGAATGAATTGAGTGAATCGATTATTTTTGTTGTTAAAGGATTTGATTAAGTTGCACATGTGCTGGAACGAATTGCTCCAAGAATTGCAAGACAAGATACTCACCTAAGAAAATCAATATCACCGTCTGAGCGGTTAACACTGACATTGAGATTTCTTGCTACTGGTAAGTGGTATAAAACAATTATTTAAAATAATTCAAAAATATTTTTTTTACTGTTTATTTATAAAAATTGTACCAATATTAATTGTAAATAAATTATATTACAGGTGACAGGTATCAGTCATTAAGCTATTTGTTTCGGATTCCACCAACAACTATTTCTCGTATTGTTCCAGAGGTGTGTGATGCTCTGTAATTGGAATTGAAAAATGATTATTTGAAGGTATGAGAAAATGTTAAATGTTGTCATAATATTGCGTTAAAGTAGTCTCGTTTTGCGTTGGAGAAATCATCTGGCATATTACGAGAGTGCTCGATGAACCGGAGTACTCACTCAAATTACTTAGAGAGAGCATAGAGTGTGTACTGGGGGAGGATACTTCTCGCATGTCGTCTTCCTCATTTGCGTCTAAAATAGCTTTCTGAATCTTGAGTTTTATTTTTTTTCGGTTATCTTCAGAGCGTATTCCTCTCAACTCTGCAGTAACACACTCCAAATACGTCCAATTGATCTTTCGGAGCTCGTAAACAAATTAAAGCTTCATTCAGCAACTCATCATCCTTTTTAACTGAATCGGGTGCCCTTTTTCATGAGGTTTTGTATCAGAAGTCTGCCCAGGCCCCGAATTATCTTTTATCTCCTCATCATGATGGCCCTAAAAAAAATAAAATAACAAATGAAAATTATTTGTTGTTTGATAGAAAATGATTTGTTCTTTTTTTTACAGATTCCTTGTACATCAGAGGAGTGGGAAAATGAAGCCAACGATTTGATCTTACTTGGAACTACCCAAATTGCATAGGAGCTATTGATGGAAAACATGTGGTAAAGAAGGCACTAGAAGATTCAGGAAGTCTATATTATAATTACAAGGGTACACAGATTATTGTATTAATGGCTCTTGCGAATGCTGATTACAAATTTTTGTATATAGAAGTAGGATGTAATGGGAGAGTGTCAGACGGGGGTGTATATGCGAATTGTTCACTATCGGCATGTTTGGAAAACAACTCTTTGAATATACCCGAAGCAAAGCCATTATGTGACCAGTCAATTCCGGTGCCATATGTCATTGTTGCCGATGACGCTTTTCCATTAAAAACCTACATTATGAAACCATTCCTTTTTAGAGACCAACCTGTTGAAAATCGTGTTTTTAGTTATAGACTTTCTCGAGCACGTCGCGTAGTAGAAAATGCATTTGGTTTGCTTTCGATGCGTTTTCATTTTCTTAGAAAGCCAGTCGAACTATGTCCTCAAAAAGTAATAAAGCTTGTTCAAGCTGCTTGTGTGCTACGTAATTATTTAATTGAAAAAAAGTCGACCAGATATGTTTCTGAAGGTACTGTTGACATGGAAGAAAATGACAGGCTTATTGAAGGTTGTTGGCGAGATGACCCACTTTCACAAAATTCATTTTATCCATTACAACAAGCAGGCGCGAGAAATCTAACTTGCACAGCTTAGCAATAAGTACGCGAAAATTTTAAATCGTACTTTATGTCCAGAGCAGGTGAACTACTGTGGCAATATAAATATGCTTGATTTTTTTATTTATTAATTTTTATCTTATTTTGTCATATGATTTTTGTTATATGATTTTGTCAAATGTATCCTACAATAAAAATTTTAAATCACAATATGAATTTACTTTATTTACTTACCAGCACATCTGTAATAATAACATCAGGGGCACTGCCAACACTGACAATTGAATCCTCTGTTGAATTTATCTGGATATTCATAAACTTGACAGCCTCAAAAAACTCCCACTTTGGTTTATATCTTTCATCTGCACCCTGACCACTTTTGAACTTTAATCAAATGCTCACTTAACTGGCATCTCAAATTATGAATTTTGTCTTTTACTGTTTTAACACCCAAATTTAAAGACGTTGCTATTGTTTCCAAGTACTTATATTTCAGGTTTCAATTCCTATACTCCTTCAACCTGACATTCCACAATTCTGGACGATCCTCCACCATTTCAATTAATTGAAACACTTTATTTCTCTCCCAAACAAACTTTTCGCACTGTTCTTCCCTGTTTTCGCACTGTTCTTCTTAATAACAGAATGTTTGGTCGATCTAAAGGAGGAATCGCTCTTTCAGCGTGTTCTCTTACATAACGCGATATCGCATAGTAGTTCGCACTCAGAGCATCATCAGTTATTGCCGCTTCACTATTTGGGAGCAAAGGCACATTCTGAACACCTTCAGTATCAAAATTTTCTATATTTGTTAAAAACCATGCCAGATACTTTGGAAGTACCGTACATCGTCCATCTATTACGCGTAATTGGTCTGCTGTGTCTTGTCCAGTCATCTCAAGAAAATTTCCACTTGCAAAAGCGACTTTATCCTGAGCTGCCATAATTCTAGCTGTAGCTATATACGCACAGATCTTTCTATAGACATTTTGATTATCTTGTGTCATCAAATTTAATAATGGCCTGTGTGCGATGGTATTCATACGTCGCAACATCATCCATACGTTCTCATTGAAACCCAAAAGGTTGACAGGAACACCTCTAAGCCTTAAGGCTGAAGACGGCTTCAACTGCGCCAACTCGGTAGTCTTATCTGGTCCCAACCGGGACGTTGCGCTTGATTTAGCGACTCATGCAACTCCTTTGTTGTTATTTAATCGGCGAGCCTCAGCACGTTTATTAAGTGATGTTCTGCCACCCTTAGAAGACTTTCCAGTCTTAGGGTTTGATTCTGCTGGTGCAGTTTCGGTAGTGGTAAGTTCGTCCATTATGACTACTTCTTGACTTTATTGAGTAAAAAACTGTCCTTTGTCTAGTCCTTTGAGCTCTAACGTTCTTGCTTCTTTCAGTTCCGTAATATTTTTCCATTAATATTAATTTAAATTTATTGCTTTCGAAAATTTGTTTTGCTAAATGATAAATGATCAAATTAACAATCAATGAAGTACCTGATACGAACTGTCGTTGTTTATTTTTATACAGACGAATATTGCAATTTATAATATTATAATAATCAGAATGTAATTAAAAACCAGAAAAAGCATGTTATTAACATAGTTTTATCAACTATTAACATGATATACATTTTCATAACATAGATAAATTAGCATAAATGTATGAGTATTAGGAGTCATAACGATATATTAATTCATATAAAGTTAGAAATATTTCAAATTATTAGTAGGTATTGTAAAATTTTAGAAAAAAATATTCTTGTTTGAAATTCAATTTTAACTCTCTAACATCTCATTTTCAATTTATATATATTCTTAATGTTCCGCTCCATCTTTATTTTGAAACTCGTACTTCTTTTGATTAAATTCACTTAAATGATCGCTTGTCACACTAAATTCAAAACAATTTTTAATTCCTGATCTTGTGTGCAAGGTGCCTTTTATAGTGGTCGTTGATAGTTTATTTCTTAGTTTCGTTTTCATGATATTTATGTTTGAAACTAAGCGTTTCACCGTCGCAGTATTGGGCGCCAAAGGAGTTTTCTTATTAAAATCGATAATTATGGAAAAATCGCAGAAACCATCGCCTTTTCTAATTCTGATGCGTGCCTTTAAAATTCCTCTGTACTGGGCGTCGTCTCAGTCTCTTCGAAATCGACATTGGTATTTCTAAGAGTTCTCCGTTTTCTATCTAGTTCTGTTATATTATCTGGGCAAATGTTTGGAAAATAATGTAACAGTTCAGAAATTGATGTGAATTTTTTTCTCAAATCAGTACTCAAAATTACTGCAAATATTATAGTTCTTGTCGTTTTTTATAATGAAATGGAAACCTCTGCTTTATTTGGCTTGCTGCCTCAATATTAAACTCATCCTCATCTAATCTTTCAGTTTCTCTTTTCAACCGAATTATATTTGGAATCATTCCTCTAGCATATATTTCTAATGAAGGTAAATGCATTTGCAAATCGTTTACATCTACGCTTAATACCCTTTGCTGTTTGGCATTCGAAATATTTTCTATCGTATTCAACTCTTCGTTTGGAAGTTCCAAATATCGGTTGAATGAAACATTCCAAAATTGTCGCATATTTGAATTTGAATATCATCTGATCATATAAATCGTACAACTTTGGTTTTTCTGCCTGCATTTCTATATTCAAATTTACGAATATTGAACAAATCGCAGGAATTCCAAATATAATTCTGTTGTCGAGATTGGAGATTATTATTATTAGAGAGATTAGAGATGCTATTTATATATGATATATTGGCGAAACAGGACTAAATCTTCTTAAACGTTTGAAACAACACGACAAACGATGATCGCAGACATTTAAAACATAACAACCATACGTTCAATTTTTTGACGCAAAGGTTTCTTTATCATGAGTCGAAAGTCTCACAAAGACGCTATGCGGAATCGACATTAATTTTCTTAGCCAAACTTAGTATTAATAAGCGAACTGATACTCCCTTTCTCTACGAAAATTACCGATATGTTTCAAATAATGTTTCCCAATTTGTATCGAATACCTAACACTGCTCTATGCTTGATGTTACGCCCTTCAAGAAATTAATATGTGGATAACACAAACTTTTTAACGGTCATTTCTATCCAGATAATGAATAGAAAGAAAACTAAGATATGTTTCTTGAAATACATTTATTAGATCCATACGTTTCGAGTTTCAATTTGACTCTTCTTCAGTGGAAACAGAACACACAAGTAATTAATACGCAAAACGCAAACAAAAACATGTCTTATGTATGTTAGTGTAACAATAAATATGAGTTATACTTCGTAAAAGAATTAATTGGAACAGTAATAATTCGGAACATCATATCTTGCAGAATAACAATGATTAATTAGTACATTCTTGAAATAAATACTTCAATTATAAATATATCACAGCAATAATTACAGCAATATAGAACTATAATTAAATAACAAAAACTTGCAAATGTTTTTACCAGAAACGCGATTTTCGTTTCAAAACTTCATTATATGCAATTTTTCAATTCATAATGTTCGAGTTTTATGAGAGTAAAAATTAACGATTTTAAGTGAAATGTAATTTTTGAGGAGGCGACAAATCATGTACCCAAAATGTTAAATTACACATTTTTATATAAAAGAAACTGAAAAGTTGTATGGAAAACAAAACCTGAAATATATTAACCAGTAAAATTTATTCAAATGTTAAATTTGAATAATATTGTATATCGATTTAGAGTTTTGCAAGGCAGACCACCACATAAAAAGCATAACTTTTTCTCGAAAATGGTTTGCGAGCGACAAATATTTCCTCATAGATAATTAATTATTGAATCGTTTAATTTCATGTGCTACTATATGAACGTATTGATTTTTATTTGTTCATGAGTTTCTTGTTGAGCGTAAATAAATCTAAAAATGAGTTGTTAAATTAGTTCAAGTACAATTTGCCAAAGTGTTCAAATTATGTTTTGTATTGTTAATCGTAAAGTGTCGGTAGTTTTCTCGAATTATGATTTTCGTTTCGTGATGTGTGTGTGGTCTGTGAATATGTAAAATTGTTAAAAAGCATGGGAATTGAAACAAAATTTTATTTGTTGAATGCAAACAACAAATTTGAAAATATTACTAACAGGAGATTTTATATTGAAACGAATTTTAATGGACTAGTGAATTGAAGTGAAAACACTTATTAATTATACTACTGCAGTTATATCAAAAATAGATACAATAATATTAATTTTAACAATTACTAATGAATGATGGATAATACTAATAAGGGCTAATAATGTAGAAATATCACATTGCGATTTAATTGCAATTAGATAAAAACAATTACGTATTACTGGAAATTACACAATTTAAATATTTAATCTATTAAATTGTTTGACAGTAGTAAGCAAAATGATTCATATTTATTGGAAGGACACATTTATTTCAAGATGAAAGACGGTATGAATATGATATAAAGCTGGTGGTACACAGCTTTGGTTCTACATGAAATAATATGAAAAATAAAAAATGTCATGGAAGGAATCAATATTAATTCAAATATGTACACAATGTATGAAGATGTAGTGCGTTATGCAAGGTGTTATCCGCACAATTTGAAATTAATATATATTCTAATTGATTTATAAATCATATGAGATATAATCAGAAACTTTATGGTTGAAGTTCATTAGAATTTTGTTGAACTATTTGTTCATGAGTACCCATTCAACTGTGACGATGTAATTAAAATCTTGATTTGTAATGATAGCAATGATTTATTTGCTTTGATGTGCCCAAATATTCGACACATCTTTTTTATATGTAATCTTTGTAAGCTTTCATTACAGTCCAAGATATTCAAAGAATCTGTTTATCCTTGTAATTATGAAAATAGTTTTCAATCAAATAGGAAGACACCGCTCTGTGTTTGTCATATTGACTAGGCATAGTGCACATGTCTAGAATTTTATGCGGGTTTTTATTCTGAATAATAATATTTTTCATTGAACATCAGAGATGGTTTACCTTCTT